TCAGGACAAGTTGTCAAAAATGAAAGTAAATGGCATCTAAAGTTTACTGAGAAAACGTATATGAAATGATATATTTCCTCTTTGATAATCTCTTTGTGAAACTTGGCGGTAGGGTATTAAGGCAAGAAGTAGATGTTGCTATTAGTCTGTCTCACAGTCCCTGAACCACATTATTTTCCCTACTGCCAAGCCCTATCTGCAGTGCTAAAGCCCTAAATAATGCAAGTCTAGATTTCCTCTGAATCTAAATCTCTGGTCTCCCCGGGGCTCCTTTTCAATTTAAATGGGCTTGTTTGTTACTATCAAAATTATATATATTCAGAGACTAAGCGTTAGTCTACTGTTGCTATGGGCACAAGATGTGTATATGAATCGGATTGGGAAGTCGAATCAAGGGAATTGGATCAAGAAGTGTAACGTAGCTTCAGGTTTGGCGATGGTCTGGAATCAACTGCAGTATGGATCAAACAGCCAATTCCACTAGTTTATCCACCTGATTCAGAACCACCTGAGATCCACCTGAGATCACCAGAGAGACCGCCTCATCTGCTTCATATTCAGATCTGTGACGAAAACATGATCACCGCCCATGCCGCCGTGTCACTACCGGTGGAGTAGCAGTAGCCCCTCTACACATAAAAACACCAGGGCCCCGTTTCACAAAGCTCTCGTAAACTTAAGATCTCGTAGCATTCGCGCACTATGTACAGTACACAGGAATACAGGTGCGAATCTACAGGAAGGTTACGAGATCTTAGGCTTACGAGATCTTAGCAGGGCTTCCGCGATCGTAGCGCTACGACTGTCGAAACGTTAAAGGGACCAGGCGTCCACGCTTTGGGGAACGGGACCCTCCGTATAGAAGAAAGAGAGGACGTTTCGCATCAACTACTGCTACGGGTTTGTTGTGATCTGTTTTTATTTATGTATATTTGTGAGAGATAAGCGAATGTTGTGGAACTGAAATGCCTGGTATAAGAAAGGATACAGCCAAAAGCCATGTTTGAAGTTGAATAAAGATGAGACAAACCATTGAAGGTGATGATATGGGGGTCATTGTTATGTTTTGAACCTAACTTGTAAACCTGAACCTAACTTGTAAACCTGAACCTAACTTGTAAACCTGAACCTAACTTGTAAACCTGAACCTAACTTTGGCATCAAAATTGCGTAGATTGATGCTCATGATGTCAGTCACGGGATTGCCTGGTCCAGACCTGATTACAGATCGCTGTCATTTAGCTGGATCTTTGTTCATTAAACAAGAAACAAATCAAAATGGCATCCCTCCATTTTTAACATGGAGCATCCTGACGTGACAAAAGTAGTGTCCAAGGCGATTGGAACATTAAGTAGTAGGAACAGAGGCACATTACGTGACAGGTTATCACGTCTTCACTTGGCACCCAGACTCCTCTGTGTAGGCACCTCGCGTTACCATGATTCAAGATTCCTCTGTGTAGGCACCTCGTGTTTCCATGGCACCCAGACTCCACTCTGTAGGCACCTCGTGTTTCCATGGAACCCAGACTGCGCTGTATAGGCACCTCGTGTTTCCATGGATTCAAGGCGCCACTGTGGAGGCACCCCGTGTTTTTAAGGCACCCAGCTTCTGCTTTGTAGGCACCCCGTGTTTCTATGGATTCAAGACTACGCTGTGTTGGCACCTCATGTTTCCATGACACCCAGACTCTGCTGTGTAGGCACCCCGTGTTTCTATAGCACCCAGACTCCGTTGTGTAGGTACCCTGTGTTTCCATGGATTCAAGAGTCCGCTGTGTGGGCACCCCGTGTTTCGATGGCACCCAGACTACGCCGTGTAGGCACCCCGCGTTTCCATGCCACCCAGATCCCCTGCAGCATGTGTAGGGTGTGTAACACAAGAAATGGTAACGGCTTCAAGACAGTTCCAGGAATGCGTAATGATATCGCGCTCCCTACCAACAGAAACACGGTAGAAGATGGCGAAATGTCAAGTGGTCAGGAGTGTAGCATATGGATGCAGAACCTTATCACGGCACTGGCTGAGTCTTACATACGCCCCTTAGAGCATGGCGCATGTCTCATATCCAGCTTCAGGGGCACTTGTGACGGGAACTATATTCCATACACAAAGCTTTCTACCAGATTCCTGTTTTTACTTGGACCCTTTTTACTTCCTTAAGTGGCATTTAGAAGCTGGTATGATGAAGTGGAGCACTTTATGGATAGACAACTTCTTTGTTGCAACTACTACTGCAACAAAGAAGTTGTCTATCCATAAAAATGGACTCTCTTTAGGTTATCTCATATTAAGTGACGATGTTGAGTTCCGAATGTATTAAAAACCCATCAAAGACCCGATGCGGGGTTCATAAATCATTAAACAATGTTTCCCTGTCATTAGTTGTTACATTGATAGTATTTTGTCACCTTGACGGAAGCACTGGTCTAGATTCCGACGTGGTGCCCGTTAAGCTGATCGTTGTATCACAGCCCTTATTACATGAATAATAATATAATAAACATGGACTAAGTAATACCATTACTCACCCATTAGAAAGACAATATCCAGCTCAAATGGGTGCCAAACCCTTTTGGTACGCCGGATGCCGAGATCATAAATTGTTAATGATTGGTTGGTTGGTTGGTTGGTTTTGGTTGGGTTGGTTGGTTGGTTGGGTTGATTAACTCGACATGGTCTCGGCAGTATTCCAGCTATATGGCAGTGGTATGTAAATAATCGAGTCTGGACCAGGCAATCCAGTGATCAACAGAATGAGCATCGATCTACGCAAAAGGCACAAAGTGACATGTGTCAGCCAAGTCAGCGAAACTGACCACCCGATCACAAGTCACCTCTTACGTTGTTAATGGAGTTTCTTGTATGTCACATATATTTTCTTACAAAGAGTGAGGAATCAGTAAAATATTTATCTCTAATCTTGTGGGCCCGTAAGACATTATATGGGAATTCAAGACCTATATACTTCTGCCAGCTGTGTACAGTGATATAACTCAAGATTTCAAAACTGCCGAATTTAGCGCCTAGTATTTCGGGGTTGTCACTGCCATTCATTAAAACAATATCAGATGAACATTATATTTTAAGATTGGTCACTCGCGTTCACGATGAAAGCTTACTGTAGGCTGAAAACTGGGTCCCCCAGTTCTTTTTAACTGATGTTCATCCTCCAATAGTTTGAGTTTGTCATAACTGATTATGATTGATTGTTTTTATTGGTATTCTAGAAGTTGAGGAGATGAAGAATGAGGACATTTTGTTAATAAATATACAACTTCTTTATTCTGAATAGGCGACGTTTCGACATAGATTCTAATGTCATTGTAATTTTAACCACTTGCTTGACAACGACATTAGAATCTATGTCGAAACGTCCCCATTCTTGATTATGATTCGTAGCATTACCCAGAAAACCATGTCTCGATGAAAGAGAAAATATGTTGACACTTTCTACACTTTCAAGATAGCATAGAAAATAACTCGCGTGACTCCTTTTGACTCGTATTTTGTTGTAAGTTGGATATGATCCTCAAAGTCCAGAATATTTTTGCACGTAGGGGCTCTTCCGATCACATCTCATCACCCGGTCCTTTGACAGGGTGGATGTTGGCTACATGTATCAGTAACAGTACGTATACGAGCTTCTACGGGATGAATAGGTTTGTACACAACGATGACTGGTTTCTTAAGCCGCCGCAATATTTCAGCAATAATACGGAAAGGGAAAGATAAAATGGGCTTCACACATTGTGCTCATATGGGAACCGAACCCGGACCTTCGACGTGACGAGCGAACGCGTTAACCACCTGCCCACCCCACCTCTTGTTCACCATGAGACCTAACATGACCTAAAGTTACTTACACGTCAATATCTGCTGGAAATGTTGTCACATGTCATGAAGAACTGCCATGCTGCCTTTAAAAATAACAATAATAAATAAATATCATGGTTGAAGTATATGTTCGTAGCGAAATATGTTTGACTAAAAGTACGTCATCCAATATGAACGTCACCATGCGCGTACATACCCGTGTCCGTTATCTCTCTGAAGCTAAATATCTATTGTACGATATATACTATATCATGGCGACTATCAGGTGGTAGCGATACCAGGTGCTTGCATATTCTCAAACAGACGTAAAGTCAATTTTTACCTGAAAATACGAACATACACGGTGACATTATGTATTTTCATCGGCAATCACGTGTTTCACTTATGGGATTCGGAAATGCCCTCCACAGTCTTACTCAAACAACATGGAAGGCGAGACGTTCATCCTACCGACTACAGACTGTAGCTGCACAATCCGGCTGTAGGTTATCGGGATTCCTCCATGGATGAACTCCCATGCAAGCATGACATTTCTCCAATGGAACCACGTGATTCGTCAGTTGATGGCACAGGTCAAGGTCAGCGTCTGAACATTCCAGGTGGATACAGCAGCTCACCCCATTACCCATGATTGCGACGTATAACGTCAGATTCTAAGACGAGAGGTCCGTCGGGTGGCCATGGTTTCGATTTCCCGCCAACCGTCGCTGTGGATAGAATGGAGTTTAAGCGGCGTATAGCCATACTCATTCACTCAAAAACTCCCACCTGGGCAGGCAGAACGTGACATAAACACACATTATCTGTCAGTGGGTGAGTGAGGGTTCACTGTATTCCAAAATGGTTCCCACCATATGTCAACCCGTCATCACTGTGCCCCTCGTACCCGCCATTGTGATCACCTGATCTCCACTCAGCTTGATGTAGAAGGACAGAGATTGGGATCATGGATGTTAAGCACTTTGGGGGAAGCCTCGTCCATGGGTTTTGTGTAGACAATCCAGGATCAAAATCAGGGCGAAAGTGGGATGACCCTTGGAATCTGACCCGACTTAAAGGGACGCAACTAGGTATAGCAAATTGTACAGCCCAAGACGTCCAGAATATAGAAAACTCCCTTGCGGTAAAGTCAATACGTAATATAGATCCAATGACACACAAGAATAATCAGCATTTTATTACAAGGCAAAATATCAATTCAGTAAATCATTCAAAAATATCTATACATAGTTTTCTTTACAAGAGCCTACACAAATACCTGCTACGTAACACAGAAAATGCATGCATATACTGGATTATCGGCCGTTACGGTTCTCTGGCAAGATTAGGCACGGGCTGGAAATATAGTTCCTGAAATTATCATGTCCACGTGGATGGAATTGAGAAACATGCATAGACTACCTGGACGATTGCATCCGTGTTTGATTAGTTTGCTGGATCGACTAGTTTATATGTCACGGGAGATGTAGAATGATCATCATCCATAAATTGTTATTGGTGATTACAGGGCTGCAGTTTGATCTAAATGTTAATGGTTAAGGGCCGAGGTGGTTACCAAGATTATGGATTGTGTATAGTTAAATATCCATCAAACAAGGCACTGCGTGCACAAGTAGGGAAGGCGTGTTCCAGAGGCATCTGTCACCATTCATGCTTGCCAATCAGTACCATGCTTGTACATAAATATACATTTGTATGCGTAATTGGGACTTAAAATCAGAGTACTATTTCCAGGTACAAGTTGTATCTCGGATATGAAACACAACACCTCTTTATGGCATTATCGAGAAAACGCAGAACATAAGTGCTGACTCGGCAAAATAATTGAGGTGTTATTTACCTAGAATTACCATTATAGTCAAGTATTGCTGTGGTTCGGCGGTAGAGGATTCGGAAACTGCAATCATTCATATCATACACGATATTTCTATAGAAACGGTCTGTTCTCTGAAACATAATCCATGTCCGCCATTACATACACGGGAGGCATATGATATCCTTTATATTCCCCCAGGTGATATCCTTTATATTCTCCAGATGTGAGGGAAGTGGTATGTTGATAAGAGCACCAACTCCCAGCAGAAGTTTCATGACGAGATACCACACCTCCGAGAGCATCTCACTTATCCGTGATCAAATCACATACGAGAAACACAGATCAACCTTCAAATATCAAAGAATCACTATCAGGAAAGAGAAATTTATCCGATATGGTCATTTAGAGGTCACGACAAGGTCACAGCCAGGCTCCACATCAGACAGTCTGACAAATCCATGGCCGATGACTGACAGACGACAGTTGGATAATGTTCCACTGAAAGAAAGGCCCATTCTCCTTAGATGTAGACAGTCCACCCATAGTTAACATCATCTGGTGACGTCATTGATACGTCATAGTCCAAGAATAGATCCAGTTAGATTCGTTCCTAGTCAACTGCACATGAACTAAACACAAACACCTCTCTTGTGACCAGGTTTCCATGGAAACAAAACATCTCTCGTACTTCCTCGTTACATATACACCTCTTGCAGTGAAGTTATCACGAACGTGAAATATCGCTGACACTTGGCACTTGAAATATCGCGATGACGTTTCCATGGTAACAAGAATATTGTCACGAAGTATCCATGGTAACAGATATACCTATGTTTCCCAAGGTTACTGTCAGAGTGATGGTGTTGTCTGCCAGGAATGGTCTAATGATGCTTCCGCTGCTCCTGCTGATGACGTTCTGATGGCAGATGTCACGCCAGTTAAAGTCCTTTAGTTTTCAGCATGTGCATCACGTGACAAGTGGACGTGATTAACATGGCGTCACAGTAGCGACGTATCTTAATTCCGTTACCCTCTGATGTTGTATTTGAACACAAAGTAACTCATGGCATGGAATACTATGTTATACTGATTCAGTGTTTGTATGATAAATACCCTCGACCCATTCCCCGCCCTAGTTTCGCTCCGGAAGTGACGTCATCACCTCTTCTCGCTTACCACTAACAAAACAAAGTATTTCTCTCCCTCTTTGGTGTAAGATGATAGGGCGGATATTTTGAATGACGTTTCTTTCGAATACGGTGTATAACGAAGATATCTGCGACGGTCAAACAAGTGACTGTCCTGAAAGGGATGTTGTAATTTAAGAGACATTTAGCAAATGAAACAGCCATTTGTGTTCACTGTTTAGTTTTTGTTGAAATCAGATATCCGCTGTTGCCCAGTATTCCAGTCCGCCACTACCACAATTAGATATAAGGCGGAACCAGCTGTCACGTATTTCCAACTGTGACCACACAGTTCTCGCATCTTAAAGTCGGAATCACCTGTCATTTCAGGTATTGCCAATCGTCATCACAAAATACTCCTATATTAAAGGATTCACTGTTGGTGTCACGTACACTCAGCCGTCACCACACACATATTCCTATCTACCACACAAGCAGCAACCTGGAACTCAATAAATAATGGATATGTATCGGAGCACTACTGTGCTGTGCCTGCCAGCTGGAATTGTCCGAGTCGAGACTCGGGGCGATGTTGAAAATGTCAAACACGATCACAAAACAGAATACCTTGATCTTGTTTGGCAGTGAGGGAGGCTGAGATGTTCTCCATCCCTAGATAGATGTATCCTAATACTTCCACTTTGGACATGTATGCACACCATTTACAAGGGAGGTAATCCCTTTGAACCTTCGTTCTTTACTCCAAATCGAGACGACTCGGTTCGTGTCTATTTTCAAGATGTCTGCCCACACGTCCACGAATATTGAAGTAGTAAACAGGATGTGGTTTTAAGAAGGAGCAGGGTCTTGAACTGGGGCAGGTTGGGGTTTTGCAGGGGGTTCTGGGGCAGGTTTCTTGGCAACAGGGGGCGCTTCTTGTTTAGCAGCTGCGGCAGCTGCAGCTTTGGCCTGATCCAGAACCGGAAGTTTGGATTCTTTCCCTTGGGCCGCCGCGGCAGCTCCCTCGCGCTTCTTGAGATCTGCGTCCTTTGGTTTCTCTGGAGTAACAACTTCCTCCTCTTCCTCCATGATCTCTGGTGGGAGACCGCACAACTGGAGACTGACCGCCCATAACTTACTTCCTCTGGTTTTGTCTCTTGCAATTTCCTTCATTTTCTGTGCCTTACAGTTGACGAACAGTTTTCCCGAGTGCTCCCTGAGTTTATCGGCCACAGCACAATAGACGATGGTCTGGCATCCTTCTTCTGGCGTCTTGAAGAGGATCCTGGCCATGGCTCGCAGCATGTTGCCGTTCATCCCGGGCCAGTTGCGGAGTAAATCGGTGCAGCATGGACCTGAAGACCAAAATAACAGATACACTACTATTCAAAATTAACTTCCGCTCATCCACAAATTAGCAAAATAAAAGATAAACTACTGTTCAAAACTAACTCCTTTTATCCACAAATTAGCAAAATGAAGAATACACTACTATTCGAAAATTAACTTCCCCATCCACAAATTAGCAAAAATAACGAATACATTACTATTAAAAAATAACTTCTCCTCAACCACAACGTAGCAAAATAACATAAGTACAATAGTATTAAAACTAACCTTCCCTCAACAATTAAAGAGCCAAATAGCAAAGATCCGCTATCATTCAAATCTGATTTCACCGCAACCACTGACCAGTTATAAACACTTAAAGCTCATCTTTTTCTATGATCGGATCGTCATTGCATCTTGTGTGTTATAACATAGAATCCCATTTGAACTAAATGATTTAACAAACTTTCTCCTTGTTAGAATCAGACATACATTTCATCAACTTCACAGGGAAAGATTGTGTCTTATTTATACATATGTTGACATATGCGGAAAAAGTTCCCCAGAATACTTTTTTCTTAACGCATATTATTCCCAAGTAGAGTCTTTTGAAGGGCATTTAGAAGTGATACAGATAAAGACAACAATTATATGGATGACAACTTCTTTATTGTGAAGGGTCACGACGTTTCGGAGTATATTCTTACTCCTTCATAAAGAGAATGACATTTCACCTGATGAAGGAGTAAGAATATGCTTCGAAACATCGTGACCCTTCACAATAAAGAAGTTGACATCCATATCATTCTTGCCTCTATTCCCAAGTAGTTTGGGATTATTTAGAAATAGCCCACCATTGTTCTAAATTATAATGTTCAATTATATACATAATATTAAACACTAAATAATATAAAATAATACGTATCAGACATTTCGAAAGTTCGCAAAAATAGAATCTTTCATCTTGAATATTTTCTAAAAGAAACTAATTTCGTGACCACTCGTGTCATTCCGTAAGAAAAAAGAAAGGCGCCAGATCTGACGAAAATAACAATTTGGTGTCCGGAGAGACACGAGTGTTCACGAATGCAACACATCCAACTGACCGGGATGGACAGCATAACTGCAAACGACATCTGAGAAGAAATGGCGGTGACACTCCATGCTGAACACCATCTGTGCCAGTTTGCTTCTGCAGTAGGCCTTGTAGATGTCGTAGCTCTTCGTCATGGCCAAGTCCTCGAAGTCCAGTTTGCCCTTGAGGTAGGCGTCGGACACGACGTTGATGACGCGACTGGGCGCGCACTTCTTCAGCTTTTCTTTCAGTAATAGCGTCAGGTAGAAGTGGCCGAGATGGTTGACGCCGAGACAACGTTCAATGCCGTCATTGGTGCTGGCCTTAGGACCCATGTAACCTGTAATGAGGAGCACATCGGTGACATTTCTTTAGATTTGTTCACTAATTTGTATCTTTTAAACAAATATTGTTAGCAAGCCTGAAAATCTTTGCAGTTAGCCAGCGTTTAAAATTCCCGCCTGCCCGACCGCCCGTAACGGTTTATTTTCATCTCGGACGGTCAAATTTCAAAAGTAGCCTGTCCCTAACAGTAAATATTTCATAATATGAGACAGGTTCTCTTGTCGTCAGTTTGAGGTGTTTAAGGTATTATGATAATTATGTTAAACTATTTACGATTGGACAGTTCATTTTACAATAACCAATCACAACACATGTACTTTCAGTTTTCCTAAACTCTGTGCATTGCCTGTTGGTGCTATTTTTATTTTTTTATTCCACTTTTTTTTTTTTGAACAGCAAATCATATATGTCCAAACCGAAAGATGAGTCTCATTAACCTATTCAGACAATGACCTACATTTCAGCCGAATTTTCTCGTGTGAAAGTCAAATAGACATCATGAACAACTATGGTTACACTTAATTCCAAGTCCTTGTTTCATAAGCAAATGGTGCTTACAAATGAATTTTAATTTTAAACTTTAATGACATCGTATTTCTATATTTTATGGCGAGGTGTAGGCAGCATGACCTTAACTAAGACGTCACAGACTGACCCTGTTCGATGAGGTCGTAAAATGATTCACAATGCATCTGGCACACTGGTTATGTGTTTTTTGCGCTTATTCAGTGTAGTTCTGTAACGCACAATGTGATTGATATAATATCAAGTCCGTACCAGACCGCCAAACTATTCTAGCGGGAGAGCCTCGTTTTGAGATTCCACGATTTCTAGGTTTCTGTTTGTGAGAGCTCGCTGTACGACAGAGCACGCTGCACAACATGTTTGCAAGGATTAGAAGGAGCGTAGTGTTGCAATATACAAGTGCTTAGATGTATCAAATAATACTGATTAAACCCAGTCAACAGGAAACGAGGTAATTGAATAGAATGGTTCAAACAACCAGCTTATGGCAACTGGGCCAATGCTATACATCAAGAACCTCAAAGTTTCATCGAAAAGGGTAATGGAATAGAATGGTTCAAACAAACCGCTTATGGCAACTGGACCAATGTCATACATCGATGTTTCATCGGTGCTATGGTTCAAACAAACCGCTTATGTTTTCATCGAAAAGGGTAATTGAATGGAATGGTTCAAACAAACCGCTTATGGCAACTGGACCAATGTCATACATCGATGTTGGTGCTATGTTGCGAAGCTTGCAAACAGTAAAGTATTCATCGAAAAGGGTAATTGAGTACAAACTACTTATGGCAACTAGACCAATGTCATATATCGAGAAACAAAGTTTCATCGAAAAGGGTTATTGAATGGAATGGTTCAAACAACAAGCTTATGGCTACTGGACCAATGTGATATATCGAGAAACAAAGTTTCGTCGAAAGGGGTATCGAGAAACAAAACGGCTTTCATCTGAAAATGTCATACATCGATAAAGAAAGTTTCATCGAAAAGGGTAATTGAATAGAATGGTTCAAACAACCAGCTTATGGCAACTGGACCAATGTCATACATCGATGTTGGTGTTATGTTGCGAAGTTTGCAAACAGTAAAGTATTCAGAAACCTGATGTTTGTTTTCATTGTTTAAAACCGGACAGGCAAGTTTGCATCCGGACTGGTACTTTTTTATAGTTACCAGTCCGGATGTCTGGCTTGGAATTTTGGGAGTTTGGGGGGAATTTTGGGAGTTAGCTGCTGTTCAACGATAATTGATGGGGAACGAAATGTTAGGGCTGTTGGAGACTGCAGATGATTCGTCAGTCTGTTGAAGTCATAGAACGTAATTTGCATATGTACGTAAGGGGAATGCGAGCGGTGTGGATTGTCTGGTCCCGACTCGATTATTTACAGATCGCCGCCATATACCTGGAATATTGCTGAGTGCGGCGTTAAACAACAAACAAACAAAACTGCTGTTACCACGTTGTCATGGCCAGCATACCATGAAAAACAGTTTGTACTCCCGAAAGTCCGAAGGCCCCCCTAGGGTACATCGTGTGGAGACCAATGTCAAACAACTTTCACTCACTAACTCGCGCAACCGAGGCCGCTACTAAATGTTAGTCAATAAGTAGTCAAACAAACCGGCCTCAGAATATACATACTTAACTAAACTAATGTTTGTGAGCTCACATGAATTGAATCATCAAATACACAGAGACAGATTTATCAATAATTTGGAATTTCCTTGAAGACAGGCTTTGTCACCAGTAACTTCTTCAGAACGTACATTTTATTTCTTGGAAATAGAGAGCTACTTGTTTTTACTCAACCTTTTTTCAAAACGTTCAGCATGTCCAGTGAACTAGGTCAATATATGTGTTCACGTTGTTCTCTATGACAATGCTTTTGCCATTTGGGAAGTACTTGATTATGCTGACATCAGCTTTTCTTACCAAGGTTTACCTTCTATATAGTGTAAAGAATACACGAGATCAGATACGGTGGATATATAGTGACGGCATAATGCTCAATGGCGTCATTGACGTCACCTGGCAACCATATGCATCCTTGTGATATATGTGTTATCAGCAGGAATTATTTCAACAGCACATTAAAGGAAAGGTCAGGTTAACCTCCTCTGCCGTGAAGGAGGTGTCGAGAAGGCGAGCGTTGTGGAAGAACACATTCCTTCAACTGTTTTCTTGTCTTGGCAACCGGTTAATGTTAACTTTGACATTTGTCCAGAGCAACAGCCATGAAAAAAATCATCCAAAAGCACGCTGTGCAATTCACCATCATTCTCACTTGCACCATCGGAAATGTCCGGAGTAACACGAGCAGTTACGAAGTTTCATACGTCACTACTCGCACCTTTCCGTGACCCGATGGACACAAGTTGGTCACGAATGCGATGATTAATGCTGGAGTATTTCTTAAACTAGCTTCCTTCCATAACCTACAATTAGTTTGTCAGAGGATTCACGAATTCACGAATACCAGAGGTGGGTACAGTCTCAAGTTTTGAGACGCATTGTAGAAAAAGTACAAACATCAGATACCGTTGAAAACCCGTGCTCTTGATAAGGATAGTAGTCTTACCTTTGGACAAGAAGCGCACGTATTTATACAATATATTGTGTATGATTTGTCTTTAAGAAAGACGTTAAACTGAAGTCTAGAGCGAAACAAGCCGGTGTTACTAACTAGCAGTCCATACGCATTTATGTATGTTGGGGACTGATGTATTCGGATATAACCTTCTTTTGATGGGCGCGCATTCAATTTCCGACATTTACGACATGCGGTATTTCAAACGGGTTCGGTGGTGGCAGCTCTCTCTGAGGCTGGTAAAGGACAGCGCCTCGAGCACGTTTCACATAATTGCAGATTTTCCAGCACCACTCCTTGGAGTGTTATCGTGCTCGGGATAGTGACTGGGGAGTATTTCATTGGTCATTCCTCTCTAGGAAACAGTACTTAGCTGGAGGGGAGTGACGTTGATGGATATATGTGACAGTGACAACTCCGCGGGGAACGTCACCCTTGACAACGACGTCTTCATATAATCCTACTTCTTCAGGATATTATGAAATACGATTTTGCACTGAAAGGAAATTTACGAACTGTCAAATAACCCTTGTTATTCAGCCTAGTTGGCAAGTTATAGAGAGTTATAGAGAGTTATAGAGAGTTATGAAACATCGCGAGGACTCGGGGTGGTAAGGAGAGGCCACCATAGTTTACTACTTTACGAAGGTCCGGATTTACTAAGATATTATTCCATTGGACAAGTTCATCTTCTGGGTGTTCTGGGGTAGAAAAGGATCCCCAGTACTCCAAGCTCCAAACGCCGGGAGATGAGGACCGGTGGACGACAGCGTCACCGACGACGTCGATCGTGTTTCTCACACTCAACCAGTAAACATCCCGGTTAGAATTGCTTTTCAGCATCACATGCTTATCGTAAAAAGGTGACTGATGGGATCGGGTGGTCAGGCTTGTTTGGCACATCTCAACGTATCCCAGATGGATGTTCATGCTGTTGATCACTGGATTGTCTGGTCAAGACTCGATTATTGACAGACCACCGCCATTAGCTGAAATATTGCTGTTACTACGTCCTCAGACCGTGAAAAACAGCCTGTGCTCTCCCGAGAGTTATTGACTGGGTACGATACTACACTACAGCAACCAGCTGCCAGGACCATAGTGTGTTCTGTCACCTCAACAGGTTATCGGAAACCGAGTCGCCTTGATTAGATGAATCCTGACATATTGAGGATATAGATCTGGGAAGCAGATTGCGGCTCCCTGTATGACCTTCTGAAACCCTTTCCTGAAAACTGTAGCTGCGATATTTCTAACTTCCGGGTACAACAATTCACTGTACAAAATACTTACAGATATATCACTCATGAGTCGTATGTAAATTAATTTACTGCTAAAACAATGAACTGCTATAGCTGTCTCAGTTTTGAATTGGAGGTGAACAATCTACTGACACAGTTATTTAATACTTTGATATAAAACAATTAACTGCAACCGCTGTCATATGTCTAAATTTGGGTTTAGAAAAATTGCTCTCCAGCTTTATTCATTTGCTGAAACTAGAAGGTTTGGTTGGCACTGTATTTCCAATGTTTGCTCGAAAAAATACTGGACAAATAATAATATTGTGAAAATGTCTTGTTGCCAGAAGAATTGTTTCGCTATCCTTTTCAGAGGAAGTTATTGTATCCTTTGATGGGGTGGTAGAAACACCTTTCCTGTGTTTGACCAAAACTATGAGGCAAATCAGGCAACCGAACCAACCGACGTGCAGCGGATCCTGAAACGACTAAGGGACACAATTCTAGATCGGGAATTGCGTCGCATTGAGTTTATTCGATTAAAGACTTCAGAAAACGAAACCAACGAATACGACATTGCCCCGCCGAAGGCAAGACTATGTGATATTTTAATGCCTTAACGTATCGGGCGGTGGGGCAGCCAAGTGTTTATATAGGTACAATGTGTGAAGCCAATTTTTAGTGTTCCACGCCGTGATATTGGGGAAATATTGCTAGAAGCGGCGTAAACCATACTCTGAACATATCAATCAGAGATGTAAATCTTTGTCAAATTCCTAAAGCATCTTAAAATATGAACAGTTCACGCCAAATTACTCAATACATCACCTGCGTTGTTGATGAGGACGTGGAGGGCGCTCTCCTTGTCGTTGAATCTGTACACGAAGTCCTGGATGGATCGCAAATTGGCGAGGTCCAAAACCTCGGCGAAGACATTCTGATTGCCAGTCTTCTTCTTGATGCTCCTCGCCACAGCTTCGCCCTTGTTCTTGTCTCGGATACCCAGAATGACCCGCGCCTTCCGCTTGGCCAGTTCTATTGCCGTGGCCTTGCCCAGTCCCGTGTTGGCGCCTAGAAGGAGAAGATACGGAGTCAGGAAATGTACATCCCGCAAAATATAGACCAAGGTGCCGTTATACAAAACAACCGTAGCGCTAAGACTACCTTAAATCTATGTTTAGGAACGGAAGTTACGATCACTTTAGTGCTAATTTCGCTTTGTACAACGGCTCCCTGAGACCCGATCCACAAAACGTTCGTAGCGCTACGACATTCGTAAGCCTGTGATAAACTATAGAGGTACGACAGGTCGTAACGTTACGAACTCTTTGAGGATAGGAGCCCTGAATGTTTTATCATTTGAGCTTTATAAGAAGTGTCAATTAGGCTTAAGGGAGATCCGGGGTAGCCTGGCGGTTCTAAAGTGGTTCATACGAAACCTCAGGTTCGATTCTACCAAACATCAATGCAGTCGACAATTTTATTGCCATATACAGTATCCATCTGACAACGGCCACAGTGTAACTCATCACAGTCTAAGTATCTACTAATCTGCTGGAGATACTAATCTATTGTCTTCCTGTCCCAATAGTCTTTACTCCGTGACGTCAGATACCAGTGATTTCAATTCCACGAACACCGCGACAATTGTCACGTCCCTACTCTGATTGTGTAATATAACAGTTGCACTGGCTCCTTCACTGAAATACGTGATAGTTGGGGGAAGTAATAAAAATTCTGCATGATGTCAAAAAGCCCTTATTTGCGAGGAGGTTCCATTTGGAACTATACAGTTATTCGCTGATGAACTCCTGAAAGAGGAGTAAATACTTACGTCCGTGCGTGCGTGCGTGCGTGCGTGCGTGCGTGTGTGTGAGTGTGTGTGTGTAATTTTACCTCCTAGTGGAGTCAAGCGTATCACGCATTGTTATTAAATTGGTTCATTGTTGATTCTCGAAAAAGCTTGACGAACAATAGTTGAATCTAAAGAATAACAACGATGGAGGTTTATTGAATTGGTAGGTTTAAATACATAACTTCAGGTTTCATTACATTACGACACTTTGTGTCAGTAACTCGTAGATTACTTCGGTTCATTCTTTTCGCAAGCTGTCAGTAGCCACCCATTACTGAATGACTGACACGACAACGTAAGATGAAGAACTCTCTCTACAGCTGACGGCTGTCAGTAGCCACCCATTACTGAATGACTGACACGACAACGTAAGGTGTGTAAGTGAATGCTGAATCAAGTCATCAAGAGAGATCGGAGAAATCACGAAAATAGATACTGAATGCCAATTCCAATTGACGACATATGCCAATAGACGCGGGAAAAGACCCACGTTAAAATATACATACAAACCCAACGGTATAAACGCATGTTCTATTCTTACTGGTTCTCTAAATTTAATTCAGAAACTGCAAAGTTAGGATGGTTTCCCAAAACATCTGGTGCCCTGAAACATCTGCGGGACGCATTTGAGCGCTGAGACAACAGCCTTGATTGAGACATGCCGCCAGGCCGACACATAGGGCTCGCTCAACACCAAATGTCAGACAGAGTTGGAAGTTTGTCAAAACCACACCATGGCTGTTTTACCTGAGTTGTGCATGCATGTCATTGTGCATATGTAATACTGGCTTCAGGATGACTTCGTGTTGCGAAAGTACGCGATGGCAGGAATACACATTCTCCTATGACGGACCATTAACGGAAGCATAAAGTAAATTGTACGTGAAATATATCCACCACCAGATGGCGCTAAAAAAATGTGACCTTGACGTGAGGCAAATCTTGCAGCTCGGAAAATGCTAATCCTGTGCTGAGTACAATAGATATTTCTGTAGGGTTGGATATTTCAATTGTGCACCGAAACATGTACAATGTGAATTTATAAGAGCCTTCATGATTAAAATAGCTTGACCTGAATCGTCTACCAAACCCGGGCAATTGACGAGCGGACACTTTAACCATTGAACTACCCTTTCATTTATAGAAATTATGAAACAAGGCCAAACTATATATTCATACATCATTTTTACCCTTGCGCAGTTTCGTTCATATATAGGGATGTTGATAGTAACGTGGTACAAGCGTTTGCTCGTCACGCCAAAAAACAGGTTCGATTCCCCACGTGGGCAGTATTACCGCTAAGGCTGTGTTTTATTCTTGTGTCTCGTCACGATATTACTTGAATAAACATGGCTCTTCATGACAAAGTAGAGCAGCTCCTCACACCGTTTGTTAGACTGTATTCCCAGATGGTTAACTGTTGTATCCGCCGGTGTATACAGAACGAATATTCGCTGCCTGCATCTGCAAAGCCGTGTATGACTAAACACATGGAATCTCCTCAGACAGCGATTCCACGAAGGAACTGACATTTCAGTCTTGGCACAGGCTAGCCGGTGAATCTGTCCGAGTTTAGCCATGTGCCAGTATATATCTGCCTACAGTGTATAGGTATCGCAGTCGTCGGAATCTGCGCGGTGTGGAGCTTCAGGCAGCAGTACCATAGCAGTTGGATGTTGTTGAGACAGCCAATTATGCTTGGAATGGAATTATTAAAAACTCTTACATGTCTTAGCTGTCAACCGAAGGAAGGATATTATCTATGAATGCTATCTATACTGCTCAAAATAAGTTCAGGACCACCTGATTCTTTCTTTTACTGTGGCAATATACTAAGATTCGGTTTCCTTAACTTCTTTTGTGTATTATACAATGTTGATAGCGCTTAGCTCATTTCGGAAAATATGTGAAACAAGTTTGAAAATAGAGGCGCATTTTCTGCCGGTCTTGTGTTGAGAACGTTAATTTACATTTCGTTTGAACCTGAAAATTGGGTAATTCTCATAGTAGTTTGAAAATTCTTTTCACTTTGTTCCTCTATTAAAACACTGCGGAGATCATTCTTACTGAAAATGGCGCTTTATAAATGTCTGACACGAATGTACTAAGCGATGTCTTTACTGTTTACTAATGTATATAGTCTGTCATACAGACCCTGAAACAAACGTAGCCAAGAAAGCCCATGCAAGTCCACATTTCCACAGTTTTTTCTGAAAATGAAGAAAGTCTCAGGGTTCCTTTTCATCATTTTCTATTTCTTTTATAAAGAACTATTTTTTTGTGAAATATGTTCATTTCAGAGTCTAGTTGTTAGTCTATATACGTATACTGAAATAAACTAATCAGTACAGGGTGTTTTGAATACTGATCAGTACAGGGTGTTTTGAATACTGATCAGTACAGGGTGTTTTGAATACAAATAAGCATGTGGTATTTTAGGCAAGGGTGACATAAAACATGGGCGCTCTTTAACCAAATAACCTTGACCTTTTTAGTGGCGCAAAGTGATAGGGACCATCAACATGCGGGCTCTGAACCGCCTGTGTTCTCATTTATCAGTTTTATCGCTGGGGAGACGCTGCCAGGAGCTACCAACGAAGGCCATCTCCAAAAATACACGCCAAGGTATCACTACATCGGTGAGAGTTTAATCACACAGCTATTAACGACTGAATTCCACACCCCAATAGGGCGGCGATCATCTTGCTCAGGGCCTGCCTGGGCTGGCTGTTGTTGGACGGGCGTTCCTTTGCTTTAGCGTTATTAAAGCAAGTAGCAAGCAGTAGAAGTTGGTAATTGCACCAGTAGTTGAAGCAGTAGCAGGGCCTACCGTAGTATCACCATTACTGTTGATTTAAATCATGAATTTGTTCATGTTATTAACGTTGAAAATTGAATTGACGTTGAACAACGCAACTCTGAGAGGCTACCTAGGTCAGTGGTTCAATCTCGTCTAACCTAAAACTTTAAAGGTGGCTCGTGTTATCTTGCTTGGCGCTATTCATGAAATGAAAACGACAAGAGGTTGTTTGTCAGTAAACAACTAAGTATATACTAAACGTCATGTTATATACTAAGAAATTTATATACGACCGTATGAATGTTGCATTGAACGACTTACACCAGTCACGTGACACGGTAGGACAGTGGGTTCTGAGCCTAGTGGTTAAAGCGTTCACTCGTCACGCTGAAGACCCTGGTTCGATTCCCCACGTGGGTACTCTGTGTGAAGCCCATTTCTGGTGTCCCCCGCCGTGATATTGCTGGAATACTGCTATAAGCGGCGTAAAAATATACTCACTCATGTGATACGGATCGACAGTCCTCACTTCTTATATACTACATACCTACAACTATTTGTTTATCATTACATTCCTACAGCGATAGGTTAATACACCACATTCCTATAGAGGCTTGTAAATATACTACATTCCTATAGAGGCTTGTAAATATACTACATTCCTATAGAGGCTTGTAAATATACTACATTCCTATAGAGGCTTGTACATTCCTATAGAGGCTTGTAAAATATATAGAGGCTTGTAAATATACTACATTCCTATAGAGGCTTGTAAATATACCACATTCCTCGGTTATTACCACATTCTACACTTGTAAATATACCACATTCTATAGAGCTTTAGATATACTACATTCCTCGGTTATTGTCTACACCTGCTGGAGCTTAGCAATACCTAAAGCCTGAACTAATAGCCACTCCAGCGAGTAATCAGATGTTTATTCAACATGGGTCTAATGTTTATTTCTGTTAAGAACCAACACTAAACACGGCTCTCTGAACGCTAGACGAAAAACGGTACAAAACCTCCACCGACAACGACAGATTGATCAACCCGACTGTTATGATAACGCTTGGAGCAACATATTACAATGTCAAGTGATACACCAGTTTGTCTCGTCTCTCACTGTCGTGTTTATTGTAAACAGTATCCACGGTAACCGGTAGTATATGCTTGTACTTTTGGTGCAAGAGATATGACCGCACTCGTGGCCTAGTGGATAAAGTGTCTGCCTGGACAACAGAAGGTCGGGGGTTCGAATCCCTGTCCTCGTCATACGGAATGATCAAATGATTGTAATTGATGTTACTCTGGTGCCCCTCGTTGTAAAGATAGACATGGGGTATCCATGTTAGACTGCGACTCGATGTCTCGGTGGGTTAGCACATTACTACAGACATAAGCCCGGACCTGTT